GCCGCCGTGTCAGTTCTCTTCTCAAAGTTTTCCTCACCAGTCATTTCCCAGGCACCAGCCCACCCTGCTGCCCCTCCTTGACCCAGCGATCAAGGAGGGTGGCTGCCAGTGCAACTTTTGCGTTGGCCCTTTAAATGTCTCTTTGCATCCCCAGCCACCTGTCTCTGGCAGAGAGCGCCCCTAAGCTTTCCGGGGTTGCGTTTTGTCTGTATTTTCTTGGTTTTAGCTGCTGTAGTTTAGGGGTCCCTGTTTATGATTCAGACCCTGTTCTTCTTGGGGGAAGCTAACTGGCCATTTCAATGTCCCTCTGGTGCTAGTGCCCGTGGGCACCCAGCCCACCCTCTCGCGCCTCCACTGCACTTCTCACCCGTTGGGATGTGTGAGAGTCGAATCTGCTGTCCGCGGCTCCAAGGCTCCTCTCCCACTATTGTTCCATTGTTTTCCAGGTGATTACTCTGTTTTAATATCCTTCTGGTGCTGCTGCTTGTGTGTGCCTCACCCACCTTCTTGAGTGTCTACCACACTTCTTACCGGTTAGGTTGTCCTAAAGCTGATTATTTTGTCTGTCTGAAGTTAGGCTCATCTCTCGCTATTGTTCAGTTGTTTTTTCCAGGTGATTTCTCCACAATTTAGTTTTAATTCCAGAATTTCCTGGGAGGGGGTCAGTATGCCTTCCATTCAAACCCCCTGCTATCTTGATTTCTCTAGATGGATAATTGTTACAGGTTTCTGGTATAGTTACTCTAAGAAGAGCAAAAACCACAGTGGCCTAAATAGGAGTGTATGTCTGTCTCAGGTACAGTACAAATGTAAGCAGTCTTGGTATCACCTTCATGGTGTCAGACATACAGGCTCCTTTGGTTTTGTTTACCAGTCAAACTTACCATGCATTTTCTATCCCATCAGTAGTTCTAACTCCCACCACTAAGATCACTTGCCAGCCAGTGGGACAGACAAACAAGGGGAATGGCATATCTGTTCTCTTCAAAGACATAGCCTGAAAATTTCACACTTACTTCTGCTCATGTCTCAAAGGTCAGAACTTAGTGACATGACTAGACTTAGCTGCAAGGGAGGCTAGAAAGCATTATCCTTAGCTGGCAAGTGGCCTTGGATGTGTTCCACTGAAAACTGGGCCTTTTTTTAAAAAAACCAATGGGAGAATAAATTTAGGGGGACATAGCAATATGTGTCAGAATGATTTACTTCCCATAGGTGTTTTAAATCCCTAGTCTGATAATTCCAACATCTGTGTTAGAGCTGAGTTTGTTTCTGATGCTGGTTTTGTCTCTTCAAACTGCGTTTTTGCCTTTTAATGTACCTTGTAATTTTTTGTTGAAATCTGGACATATTATAGTAGGTAAAAAGAACTGAGGTAAGTAGGTCTTTGATGTGAGGCTTTATGTTTATCTGGCTAGGAGTTAGGCTGTATTTACTCTTTGCTGTTACTGTGGTGTTAGAGACAAAACTTTCACTGTTGTCTTTGCCTTTGTCTCCCCTATTGTCTCTGGGTTTCCCTAGAGACTTCATAAATAGGGTGTGAGACCTGCAGTTATTATGGCTGCCTTCCCCTATTGCCATATGAAATGCTATTGATGTGATGCTAAGGTGTAGGGGAAGGAACTGTTCCACGTCCTACAACTAGGGCTTAGGTTTCAGTCCGTTAGTGAGATTTTTGTGTTTATCATTGAAGAAATACAGGCATATCCATTAAAAAATCATTCTTTTCAGTCCCCAATAAGCACTAATTTACTTTCTGTCTCTATGGAGCTTCCTATTCTGGATATACCATATAAAAAGTATCATACAATGTATGACCTTCTGCATCTGGCTTCTTTCACTTAGCATAATGCTTTTGAGGTTCATCTACATTGTAGCATGTATCAGCATTTCATTCCTTTTTGTGGCTGAATAATATTACAGTGTATGGATATACTACAATATCCTTAGCCATGAATCCATTGATGGGAATTTGAGTTGTTTAACCTCTTGGTATTTGGCTATAATGTTGTTATAAACAGTCATGTACAAGTTTCTGTGTGGACATAAGTCTTCATCTCTCTTGGGTATATACCTAGGAGTAAAAATGCTAACATGTGGTAATTCAGTGTTTAACTTTTAGAGGAACCGCCAACCTGTTTTCCACAGTGGCTACATCATTTACATTCCCACCAGCAATGAGCAATGTATGAAGGTTCCTATTTCTCCATATCCTGCTCAACATTCTTCCCTCCCTCCCTTCCTTCTTTCCTTTGTTTCTTTCCTTTCCTTTCCTTTCCTTCCTTCCTCCGTCCTTCCCTCCCTCCCGTCCTTCTTCCTACTTATTCTCCTTCTTCCCCTCCTCCTCCTTTCTTTTTCTTCAAGTCATTTCATTGTGTTTTTGATTTGCATTTCTGAAATGACTAATGATAATGTGCTTGTTAGCTATTTTTCAGGACCTCTGTATGTTATTAAAAGTATTGAGGATCCCAAAGAGCTTTTGTTTATTTAGTTACATCTAGTGATACCATATTTAGACACTAAAATCAAGAAATTTTAAAAATATTGTTTATTAATTCCATGAAAAACAATAGTAATACACTCATTAATGTTAACATCAGAGTAATGATACAAACACATATGTAGCTTCTGGAAAACTCTACCTTACACTTGTAAGAGAATGAGAGTGAAAAAGGTAAATAGGCATCTTAATTTTTATGAAAAAAAATTTGATCTCATAGTCCTCTATCCCCAAAAATGAGTAATGAAAATTCAACTCAACTTTACTCAAGTAAGAGAAATAAGATTAAAAAAATTTTTTTGAGATTCCTCTCAACTTTAGTTTAACTTCAAAACACAAATTTCAGGTGGTGGAAGTGGGGGAGAATATTGACAATGGAATCTGGATGGTACTTGGTGAGTCACAGAAAGGACAGAAAATGGTTCTTTAATCTGGACATGGACCTGCTGATACCTGGCCATTTTTTTATAACACTTCCCTGCCCTTCCATAAATGAAAACTGGCTATAGGTTTAAACTTTTCATTAATTGCCTTAGTCATGTGATTTTTGTCCAACTGGGACATCTGAAGTTAACCAATTTTAGCACTGAGCTCTTATGTAAAAGGCTATATAAGAAATTTCACTAAAATCTCAGCACTTGAAGCTGATTTTTTCCAGTAGGCATTGAGGATCAGTGCACATGGAGAGGTATAACTCAGTTGTTCTCAAAGTGTGGTACCTGGACCAGAATCATCAGCTACACCTAGAATTTGTTAGAAATGTAAATATTCAGGCCCAGTCCAGACCTGTTGATTCTGAAATTCTGGAGATGGGCCCAGCCATCTGTTCCGGTTTTTTTTAGATTCTTATTTATTTATTTTTAGAAAGAGGGGAAGGGAGGGAGAAAGAGGGGGCGAGAAACATCAATGTGAGAGAGAAACATCAATCAGTTGCCTCTCCTATGCACCCTGACCAGGAACCAAACCCCGCAACCCAGTCATGTGCCCTGGCTGGGAATTGACCTGGCAACCTTTCAAACCGTGGGACAACGCCTAACCAACTGAGCCGCACTGTTTGGGGCAACCACCTGTGTTATAACAAGGCCTCCAGGAGACTCTGATTTGCTAACAGTTTGAGGACAACGGGTATGTCCTTTTTCATAGTCACATCTGGTCAGTATGATCTTCCTTCCTCTCCCCTCCTCAATTCCTTCTTTCTTTCCTTCTTTCCATAAACGTTGACTGTGTTGATCTCTTACTGGTGTCTCTATGACGCTTATCTGGAAATGTACATATTTGCACATCATGTGTCTGTCTATAAACATCAAATTCTTGCAGGACAAATTCAGTGTCATTTATGGCAACCCCAAAGAAACTAACTTTTAAATAAGCCTATTAGTAATGAATAGTTGAAGCTTTTTAATAGGTATAATTCATTACCTGGGACCCACAGTATTTTGCTGTGTATAAAGCGCATCCATGTTTTTGGCCCAAACTTTCAGGGAAAAAACCTTTTGTTTTAATTTTTTAATTCAATTTTTTATTTATATATAAAAATGATTATGGTATTCCAGGGTATTATTTTGCATATGTATATCATTAGTATTTTTAGAGTTATACTTTTAATGTATAAGCATAAATGAAAGAATAAAAAACATTTATATGGATATGAAGTTAGTACCACCCATGTATAATGCATATCCATATTTTTCCCTCAAAAATTTGGGCAAAAAAGTGTGCATTATACATGGCAAAATACAGTAGTTTATCCTTCTTTTCCCAACATGAGCTCCACTGAAATTCTTTCAAATATTGAAGCTCTGTAATTCCAAGCCTTGATTGCTCTGTTTTGGTGTTACCAAAACATAATTCCGCCATGGCCTCTGTTCTTTTGAAATTCAAAATTGAAGGTTCAGTGGAGGGGGGCTTAGTTTAGAGGACTGACCTAAGAACAAAAGGATGCAGTCAAGCTACCTGCCCAGAGTTCTTAGAGGGTGTTCACTAAGGAATGTGACCAGGAGAATGGGCTAATCAACTGGAGGCTGGGAGAGGATCTATGTGGATCAAGGGACAAGGTCCTATTACATGTGCTAGAGAATTTGTGTGTCTTTTTAATTAGGGCTGGGGTTTTCCTTGGGATGTCTAAACTGGGAAGTTGGGATAAAATTAACATTAAGCCATTTTCTTTATACTACATAGACTGTGGAGAGAGTTCCTTGCTTATCACACTTTACATATACATGAAAATAAGAGGGAGAGTTCTGGTTGTTCCACCCTGTTCCTCCAATGATCTTGGAATTGCTACTTAGAAGCAGGTTGAGCTCGCTCATTGATACTCCAGAGCTGGCTTCATGATGGGGTTGCAGTTGTCAGCTATTCTGTGATGTGTCTTCAGAGCTTTTCAAAACCCCAGGGATGACAGGAGATGCAGCTTGGGAGAGTGTTTAACTTCTTTGATTTTGCTTGTGCTTGATGACTTCTGTGGGCTGTTCTTTGCTGTGGGCTGTACTACTCTGGCTTTCTAGATTGTTCTTCTATTCTTCCTCCTGTGGTGATAAAACTAAGTCTTAGTTATCAGAGTAGTACTGCACCAAGAAAAATGTGCTTCCATCTTAAACTGATGTGGGTAGAACATTCAACTAAGACCATATTGACCTGCAAACTTTAAATTCCACCCCAGGATATTATTACCTTTGCACATGCTGACATCTGACCTCTCCACCCCACCAAGACTGCCCCATGGGTCTTACAGAGTGAAAATTCAATCATTGGGCAGAGTGAGTCAATCTGAGAAAGAGCCTGAGAAAACCCTTCCATTTCCCTGTGAGTTCCAGGACTGGACAGTTACAGGTGTGGAGGCTGAGCAGATCCCAGGTAATGGACTACAGGACGGGCTCTGTTTGGGGGTTAATCCCCAAGGGGTATACTACTGTAAATCCTCACTGTACATTTCATCCCAGTGTGTAGTGACCGCTGGGTCCTCCGGTCTAAACCTGGACTCATCCCTGAGTCACCCTGCCTCCTTAACCCTCACTTCCAGTCAGCTATCTTGACTTCCTTTATATATTTTTTTATTCTTTTTCTCCTTTTTAACTTGCGCCCACTGACCTAGTTCAGGCTGTCATCATCTCCTGTGTGGATTTACTCCATCACGACATAATCGAACTGGCACCACTATTACCCACCTTAAATCCAGCCTCTATTGAAGCCAGACCTTTCAAAGGGCCAATGCTAATTTGTCCCATAAGTAAAACTTCTGTGGTGCTCTCTGTTGCCCCTCTGGATCCGGTCTCTGGATCGGGTCTACACCACTCAGTCTGGCCTGATCTTCCATGACTTGGTCACTGTTTATCCCCAGAGCATCACTGCCACCTCTGCCCCATGCGCTTTGTGTTCAGAACTGTGTGGCTTCTCCCAAACATTATTATGCTCCTTCTCACCACTGTCTGTCTCCCTGCATGTCTTCTGTCCAGCACCTATCTCCTGCCTTTTAAAATCTGGCTTCAGTCATCTTAGGCACCTTCAACTCTAAAAGCCTTCTTGGCGCCCCCATGTAGGGTTAAGTGTCCTTTTTCTTTGCTCCTATAAACACCTAAATCTTAGGCTTTCACAGATTATATTTAAAGTTTCTATTTTTTCCCCCCACCTCTCTTCTACTAGTCTGTAGATCCTGAGAGGAGAGGTCCTTTGTATTTATCTTCGAGCCCCTGACAAGTGTCTGGCACATGTTAGATATTCTTTTTGTTTTTTAAATATATATACACAGGGGTGAACAAAGGTAGGTTTGCAGTTGTGAGTATACAATACACAGTTTATTCTTCTATTATTACTCATTTTTTATTATTGTATTATTTATTTGTATTATTTGTCTTATTATTATTGTTATTATTTTGTATCCTTACTTGTGATTTACCTTTTACATAATGATGTCTGGTAATTTAACCTACTTTTGCTGACTCCTGTATATTTTTATTAAATTTACTGGGGTTACAGTGGCTAATGAAATTCAGATATTCTTGTAATAGTTTTTTTGAGATATAATTAACACATAATATTGTTTGACTTCAAGGTATAAATATGTTAATTTGATACATTTATATATTACAGTATGATTATTACCACCATAGCATCAGCTCACACCTCCATGGTGTCAGATAATAATCATTTTTTTGTGGTGATAATACTTAAGATCTAGTCTCTTAGAAACTTTGAAGTATATAACACAGTATTGTTGACTATAATCACAATGCCGTGTACTATATCCCAAGAACCTATTCATTTACTAACTGGAAGTTCGTATCCTCTAACCAACACTTATATAGGAGATACCCTGTAAAATTTTTTAACTATATCAGAAAAGGAATAATAATAACAATGAGCTATGCTAAGTGATTTTCATGAATTGAAAACTCTTAGTTTCCAGCCAGCACTGTGCTATAAGAGCTTTGTGTGATGGCGGAAATATTTTGCATCTGTGTTGTCTAATAAGGTGGCCATAGGTGGCTTTTGAATACTTGAAATGTGACTAGTGCAACTAATGAACTGAATTTTTAATTATATTTCATTTATCTAAATTTAAACTTAAATATTCACACGTGACTAGTAGCTGCTGGTATTGAATAATACAGCCCTTACTTTCCCCAGTTTTTATTTAGCCCAGTTGGACACTTTCTACCTTGTCCAGAACTCCCTTGGGGGCTAAATGTTTAACAACCAGCTCTCTGAAAAAGTTTACCTATTTCTATGGTGTAAATACTCCCACATCACCTAGTTTCAAACTACCAATGTGACATGACTGAATACAGAGTTGTAAAGAGATGTGCAGTAGCAAGCCATTATATAGTATTTCTTGATACAGATGCAATAGATGTAAATAACTGTGAGAACAAAGACAGCAGTAAAACAGAGTACAAATAATTAGAAATGTGATTATTTTTGAGTATTTAATTTTGTATTTAATGTAATTTATTTAATAAGTCTCTGTGCTTTAATTTTTCATAATGACTATGCTTAAAAACAGTTTGAAAAATTCCTGAAAATTTAACTTCAGCTCTCAGAAGCCAGTGAAAGCCAGCTCTGATTCATCACTAGCTCCTATTAATTTCTAAATAAATAAATAAATAAATAAATAAATAAATAAATAAATAGTAGGATTCTCTTTGGCCATAAGAGGGCACTATCAGCTGGAATTCAATTTTAGGAAGACTTTGGACTAGTCTCTGACAGAGGGATCAGTTTGAGTCTCTTGGAAGACTGTAATTCTGGAAGAGCTTGTGGGAACTCAATTTTAGGCTGCTCTTTATTTCACAATATAAATTCCAAAACCATTACCACTACCAAATAGTTTCATCCCTTTGTGTCTGAAACCTTTTGGTCTTTAAGCTGCTGGAGTGAAAAGATCCTTGAGATGTATGGTCTTGTCACTGAAGAAAGGAGAAGATCTAACAAATATCTTCTCAAGGTCTTACAGGGGAATTTATATTAGGGTTGGCCAGAGGGCACTCTGGTGTGTGGGTAGGGATTCCCTGGATCATCGAAAGCGTGACATGCTAGGTCTCTGTAGTCTATTCTCTAAAGAGGGGAAGAAGCTGGCTCTCTCTCTCCTTGTCTGAAAGAGAAACGACTTCACTCTCTTGATTCTTAACATCGTTAGTCTCATGCAGTGGTTCTCAAAGTTTGGTTCTGTATGGGAAATATCAGGATGATGTGGGAGTTTGTTAGAAATGTACATTTTCAGGCCCTATCCTAGACCCGATGAATCAGAAACCCTGGGGGTCTGGCCTGCAGTCTGTTTGAACAAGCCCACCAGGGGATGCGGATGCCCACTCAAGTTTGAGAGCCACTGGCTTAGTGCAGAATTATTAAAATTGGATGCGTATGTATTTAATGCGTCTGAGGAAATTTTTAAAAGTACTTATCTAGTCATGAAAGGTTGTATATTGTACGATTCCATTTATATGAAATGTCCAGAACAGGTAAATCCACAGAGATGAAAAGTGTATCAGTGGTTGCCAGAGAATGGGGGAAATGGGGAATTGGGAGCTTTGGGTTTGTTTTTTAGGGTGATGGAATTATTCTAATGTGTAATTAGATAGTGGTGGTGTGTATACAAAGTTGCTAAAAACCACTGAGTTATGCACCTGAAATTGGTTAAAATAATGAATTTTATCTCAGTTGAAAAGAGGAAAGTACTAATGTCTGAGGCCTGCCCCCAGAGATTCTGGTTGGGATCCAAGCATTGGTATTTGCTCCTGTTAAAAAAAATACCTCCTGACTTTTCCAATCTGTAGCCAGGATTGAGAATCCAAGTTAGTACAAATAAGTCCACACATGGGTCATGTTCCGGTCAGGGGGACTCTGGTGTGAGCATCCGCTGGAGATGGCATGGGGAGCACAAAAGAAGAGGGGCTCAGGGTGGACCTACTTTCCTTCTAGCCAAGTGATGAGGCAGAAAGGTCATGGGCTCTTGGTTCAGATTGCAGTCTGGGCCTCTGCTGTTCAATCTTGTTTTACATTACTTAATCTGCCTAAGACGTAGCCATGAGAATGTTTCTGAGAAGACAGGTTGTGATAATGCTTATTAGATAAGCATCGAGCATGGTATACAGTAGGTACTCAACAAATGTTAGTTTCCTTTGCTCTCCCAGGTCCCTGATTGACTCTTTGGGAGTGTATACATTGGCCAGTTCTCCCTCTACTATTCCCCAAACTCCTGGTGGGTAGTAAAACAATGGGGTGGGCTAGGGGCATGGGTATCTCTGCCCAGGTGCATTTCCTACTCTGGCTTCACTGAGAGCTTGGCCAGAGGCTTCCTCAATATGGGACTCACCATCTCCGCTGCCAGATGAACGCACTCAGAAGGAGGATACCGATCAGCAGGAGAGCACAGCCGGCCACTGTTAACAGAGAAGCAGTTCAGCAAGGGTGTGCCCTGGGCCAGGTCACAGAACAGGTTCAGAAAATACCCCCTGAGCAAGGATTTTCTGAAGACATGAGCGCTGCAGGTTCCGATTTCCCCTCCCAGAGTTCAGCTCCCTTCCCCTGACAATCTCTTATGGGGCTCAAGGACTAGGCTAGGACTGGGTAGGGTGGCGTAGGTGGAGCAGGGCATGGTGCCATTCCTCCAAAGGCTTTTGGGTGAGATCTGGCGGATGGGCACTCTCATTCAGAGGCCAGGCCTCCGTTTAAAGAGGCCCTGAGTGGGGCCTGTGATGGTTAAAAGAGATATTGAAACATAAAGATAAATGATAAAGACTTTAGCATCTCTCGAAATTGTTCATATTTCCCAAATGGAATGAGCCACCTATATCTATGTATGTATCTACCTACCTATCTATCTTAGATGTGTCTCAAAGCCTGTTTTCCTTCTTTCCCGCCCTGGCTTTATTGAGATATAATTGGTATACACATTGTGTAGGTTTAAGGTGTACGGCTTGCTGGTTTGATGCACTTACATACTGCCATGTGGTCACCACCAAAGCACTCGCTAACACCTATGTTGTCACATGTTTACCATTTCTTTTTTGTGGTGAGAACAGGTAAGATCTAGTCTCTTACCTTTCAAATGTACAATACAGTGTTGTAACTATAATACAGTGTTGTTAACTATAATCACCATTCCATCCCAGAACTCGTCTTCTCACTGGAAATTTGTGCCCTCTGACCCCCATCTCCCTATCTGTCCCAGCTCCAGCCCCTGCCCCTGGAGATCACTGTTCTATCTTGTTTCTGAGCTTGTTTTCATTTTATTTTTTCCTGCTGCAAAGCATGTTCCCCCCCCCCCCCCGCCCTTCTCACCAGGAAACAACTATGGTGTTTATGGATTTTTTTTCCTTTGTCTTGTTATGGTGGCTCCCTCCTCCTTTGCCTCCCCCTCACATACAGACACAGGGTATTTTGTCCTTTAGAATCCATTCAGGAGGAACTGATTGGGGCAGGTTTGAGACTTCGCTTGCAGCTTACTGTAACTGATTACTGTGATTTTAAGTTATGTTAATTTCTGGATTAGTCTTTTACCCCTATAAACATATAGTGTAAATAGGGGGTCATTTTGACCAACTAACCAATCTACGCACCAAGCAACATGCCCCACAGTCTCTGTCTAGTGTACATTTTTGTCAAGAACAAAAGCAGCTCCTGCTCACCTCCTATCTGATACTCAGTGGTAAATATGAACATCTTCATGGTTGTAGCCTCTTCTGTATGTTTTTCAAAATCTGTGCAAAATAGAAAGGGAAAGATGCTCTGTTTATGCAATTATCGGGCTGCACAGGCTAGAGAGTTTCAGACCTTCTCTGTGAGCTAGAACCTCTGAGGCTGATGGAAGGGAGGTAAAAGACAAGGGGAGGTGATGTGTAAGCATTTTGTTCTTCTGCCTTGATACACCGTCCTCAGTCTGGTTTCTCCCCTTTCTGGCACTTGTTTTCCAACATTTGAAGGTTGGGAAGTTGGATGCAGATGGCTGATCGTCTTTAAACATCCACGGGGCAGCTCTGACCCATGTGCTGGAGGGGCTGCTCCAGGCAAACTGTCTTCCCTTTCTCCCATTATGATTTAATGGCCAAGCTTTTATCTTCACAGAAACAAACTCTAGCCATACCTGTAGTAGTACCTGCTGTTATTAAGGGACAGGAAGCTTCATCCTCAGAAGGAGTAACCGTGCTTGCTTGAGATGTTTTGTCACCTGGAGGAGAGAGTAAGTGATGCTTATGGGACTGAGGGTGGGGGTACTGGGGAGCCTCACATTCAACCCCACCTGCCCTCCCCAGTGGACTTCAGACACGCTAGCTAAGGTGTGAATCTCAGTTCTGGGCATGCTATCTGTGGGGACCACATCACATGGCTCCATATCAGAGTCACAGGGAGGTGGGTAAGTAGCCCCTGTAGAACCCAGTAAGAGGAAATCCTATTTGTGATCCTGGTTTTCCATAGAACTCAGAGACACTTTCTTTCCAGACTTCTTACTCAGCCCTGGTTTCCACCTGTGACTTGGAGACAGGTCATAATAATACAAATACCATTGAACCATCAAACAAAGTAGAAAGGGACAAAAGGAGAGCTTTTCTCTGTGACAGGTACCCCATTCCTAATGGGTATTATTAGTTACCTAGGATATTGCCCCACTTTGCCATCTTTTACAAAGGAAAGCAGGGACATGCCATCGCCAGCAGTGTGGCTCACTGAAGACAGGCTGTGGGAAAGAAACACAGAATTCCCAAGGAATCCAAGAGGAAGACATGGGAAATGGGAAATGGTGGTGAGCAAAGAAACCAGTAACCCATAGTTAAATGTAAGTGACTTTTGATAGTAGAAATTGTAATACGATTTCAGAATGAAAAAGGACAGAAGACCTTAATATAAGTGAGTTGTATGTATGCGTGAATGAGTGTGTGTGTATGTGAGTGTGTGTGTGTGTGTGCATGTTTGTGCTTAAACAAGTCCTTTCCCTGCACATTTGCACTTCTATCAAAGCTCAGTGGAAATGATACAAGAAGTTGCAGGGCAACGGTGTAGCACTGTACAAAAAAATGGATTTACATTATATATCAGTAAATTAGAAATGTGTGGGTTGCAGGCTGGACTTTCCCTTTTGAACAAGAGGAAGTCTTGGTAGCTTAGAGGAAGAAGTGAAATTTCAGAATCAGCTAGGAAAGGGGAAGGATTATCCCCTTGAGAGATCTGGGGGCTTTAGAACACTCAAAAGAACTTTTCTCCTCTTCTGTCCCCTGTTACTTATCCCCACTCAGGGTACAGGAGATGTTAAGTGTTAGAGACCTTAGAGTTTATCTAGTCTTTTTTATAGAATGAGAAAAAACAGAGACCCAAGGAGATTAAGTGTCTTGCCCAAGGTTATATAGGGAGTGGGTCAGGAATCCCACCCTGGTTGCCCTGATGGAAAAAGCAGAGTAGTGAACTCAGGAAGGTGTCACCGTAACTAGAAACTTCTTACTTTCTCTTATGCACGTGAGCTGGGGCTGTGTCCACCTCGCCTCCCCACAGATCATTTTGCAGGTGCTCTTGGCAGGACCTCTCTGTAAGGCCCTGAATCCATGGACACACTCATAGTGAATGGTCTGCCCCACCACAAAATGATAAATTCTCTCTGGACCTTCATGTTTCCATGATGGGGGTTCTGTGCAATAATCTGGAAGAGGGAGAAAAAAATTCCAAAGGCAAGTTGGGGAGAGCACTGTGAGTAAATCCAAGTTTCCCTTCCTAGAGCCTGGACCTTGGTTCTGATTCTTTTGTTTGTTTATTCATTTGTTCATTCATTTTATTCCATTTTACCAATATATATTGAGAATGTCTGTGTGTCCAGAACTTTGCTGAGTACCTTGTGGGAAGGCACAAAGATCCAGTCACTCCTGCAGGTGAGGTGAGTCAATTGGGTGAAAAAGACACATGAAGGCAGGATGTGCTGAGTATTACAGTTAAGGAACAGACGTTTGCTACACAGAAGAATTAGTACTTAGACCATAGTGAGGGTTTTCATAAGTGGACAGGAGTGGGAACGGAGGTCTCTGCTGAGGGATAAAGGCAGGCTCAAGCCAATTTTGGCTTGAGAAGTGAAGACCTCCCTGGATCTCCACTGCTGATTGAGGAAATTACACCCTCAGGTTGCAGCTAACAGTCATCTTGGGATCATGGTAGAAGGACTGGGGATAAAACCAAAGCCAGGAGGAGAGTAGGGCTGAGAAAATCTCAGAGGACTGGAGCCTGGTCTCCGGTCAAGCCATGCCTGAAGCTTGCCCTACCTGAGCCCTATCAAGGCCTCTGAATATTCCCCATGCCCAGGAACTTTCTACTCACCAACCAAAACCCAGCTCTGACCTTTAACCCCAGATATCATGTCCTGCTCTAATTTAATCTCGGGATTCTCCACCCCACCCCTTATCTGAACATATGGAACCACATGTACCCTCTATCCCCAGACACGTGAAGTTACACATATTCTCTGATCTTCCAGATTTTCTACAGCGTGACTACCCAATATAACCTCAACAAATACTCTATATAACCTCTCTGCCCCAGCAGGAAGCCTGGTGTTTCTGTCCTGAGGGTCTGCTCTGGGTATAGCACCTTGCAAATCATAACTGAAGTTACATTTTAGGCGCAAAAAATTTCTTATACAGCCAATGAAAACCAAAATGTCTGAATCTATATGAATTGGATTTGCTTATTTTAAATGAAAATATCCTAATGAAGACAATCTGTGAAATATCCCTTAGCCAGAACCAGCTGGTAATCTATTGAGAAAGGAAAACAAACTTTGACCTTTTAAGAAAACTTTCAGTAATTGTGGAGGGTAATGTGAGAGAGTAGAGAAAAACAAATGAATGTGTTTTTAAAACATCATTCCATTACAAAGTTGGAGGGGTAAACGGATAAAAACATCATGTTTCAACAATGCCTCTGGATTAGTTTTTTTTTAATAGTTTTTTGAAAAATAATTAGCCAAATCTTTTTCCCTTATCAACATATCGATTTCTTCTGTAAATTGAAGTAATACCACCTCTCTCTGACTCACTGGGTTATAAGGTTCAAGTGAGATTATATACAGTAAGAAAGTTCTTTGTAAGGTTATAAAAGCATGGGACCACCTGGTTTCATAAGGTCAGCTGGTTCCCCCAAAGCTCAGGCTTTCCTAATGGACTCTACTTCCTCCTGACATTATGACTTCAACCAACATGCTTGATTGTGGAAAGATGCAGCAGAAAATGGGTAGTTATGGTGTTCACTCCTCCACTGCCCATTAGCTAGGAGGTATTTGTCTGCAGTTTCAAGACTCGGCAGAATGGCCCAGTACATTTTACAATCCTATGGTGAGAAACATCTTGAAGTAAATTGCTTTGCTGGTAGTTCATTATCTTCTACTTAGGGGAAAAACAAAGTATTTCCTTAGAGCAGAGACTGTTATCTGGTCATATTTGTATCTTTTTTTGGCAGTGCCTGGCACATTTAGTCCTAACACCTGCTTATTGAATTGAATGGAATAGAATTGAGCTGAATTATATTCAGCCAGCTCCCCTATCAGGAAGAAACCCAGAGCCTGGGTTGGCCACTGTGAGAGCGATTTCGAATGCTGAGCCAACAGCCTGCAAATTCTATACAATAGTTCTTGTTGACATGAAAGCCTTAGAGGAGAGGATAGTGGGACAGACTTTCTTCCTTTGGGGAGCACTTCATATACCTGCAAGAAAAAGGTTGGCTCCAGTACTTAGCTAGACAACAGTTGTTCAGATTCACCTCTTACCTAGGTTAACTTGGTCTGTGGGCTGCATTTCGCTTTGCATTTCTGTGGTTTTTCCTTCCTCCCGTTCTTCAGGTTTAGCAGTAGCTTGTTTTTGTGTGTTCCTGAAGGCTAGAGAATATAAATAGAAAGAATCAAATAACTTCACAAAGGTTTATAATAGTAAACATTATAAATGGCATTATAATACATTATAAAACATTATAAATGGCAAAATCATGTATTATTTACTCAGAAAGAATGTCTTTCTAGTGCTTGTGGTGCGCCAGGAAATATCTAGGTGCTGGGGTCACAAAGATGATCCGCACATGAGCCCTGGCCTTGGGACACTCTCAGTGGGCCTTGCTCATGTCAAGCCCAGGACAGCACCGGCCTTCAGTATTCGTGGGTGTAATGACAATGGCCTTCAGCATGTTTCTGGAAGAACTGAAAGATTTTCTGGTGGAATTTTTTGTATATGTGTATCTCCCACAAAGGGACCCCATTCTGGCCATCGACCCTACCATTGTTGTGCGTGGGGGTGTGTGTGATGGCATTGAGGAGTGACCTGACTCAACAGCCCTAAAGCAGCTCATTTAAAAGTTAGAGAGATGCAATCTTAAAGTAACAAAAAGGTCTTCTACCTCTCTAAACTCTTCTCTCTATTGTGAAGAGTTTGGCAAAGGAGTTGAGTAAGGGCACCGATAGTCAGGATTTTTAACTTAGGGTTAGAGAGGGGATCTTCTGGGGAAAAAGACTATGGGGTACTTCAACAGAGCAGCAGTCTCCAGACTTTGCAATCCATTCCTGGTTTGGGTGGGATAAAGGTCACTGCAACTCACCAACACCATCTCCAGGATTGAGAAATAAAAGGACACATGAATCCACCACTATTCACCACTTTCTAATACTACAGAGTGGACAAAGGACCTCGTAGGGAAATTGGATTCATGAGAGAACTTTCAGGATTCAAAGAAGAAAGTTAAATGGCAAAATTATGGTATCACATCAACTTCAGTTTAGAAAGCATCTTGTGGGTCATTTCCTTTCATTCTATTCCAGAGAGGTGATCTGCCTACAATATCCAGGCAAGTAGCTCCACCATCTCTTCTTGTCCTCCCCAGTAACCATGAGGTTGGGAATCTTAGTTGACCAGCGATTACAGTCACGTCTGGCAATGAGGGCCATGAGCTCTCAACCCATGTTTTGAAATTCAGACATAAAGAAATTCTAAGTGAACAACTTCCTCTGCCTCTCCGCTTCCCTCGTGCTGATTTGGGGCCTCACCCACACACACATACCAGTCTGACCTGCCTGTGGCTTGTTATTCTGACTCTAGCGAGGGGATGTGAGGCCTCTGGAGAATATTCCTCATGCCCTGGAATGCCAGTTCCTGACTGTGGTCTGGGGAAGGCCCTGGATTGACAATATATTTCTGCTTGATTATATATTCCCGCTCCAAATAGCCCCATGTGACCCAGAGTGAAAAATGTCAGTAGTAGATAAGACTCTAGAATTCAGTAGCATGAGCTTCTATTTCCTTTTTCACCCTTGTCAGGGGAGGAAATGCCTCTTTCATTGCTCCTGTTTTTGTACTTAGAGCTTTTTCCTTAGGTTTGCAGAGGTGGTAATTGAAAAGGAGAAGGAAGAAGAAGGATCATGGGGTGTTTTTAAGAATTCACACTGCTGTGTTTCTGGAGGTGGAACTAGGGTAAGTATATTTTATCAATCAGGATATTGGTAGTATGAAGAGTGAGCTTTGGAAATCAGAACACAAACAAGTTAACACAGCCTTAGGTAGATATTGCCCACTGGAATTGTTATCTTTTTAAATATATGTATTCTTTATATAGGTTCATCCACACTATTCTTTTTTATTTTTAAAAAAGTATGTTAAAAAAGACATAACATAAAATTTGCCATACCAATCATTTTAAGTGTACAGTTCAACGACATTAAGCACATTCACTGTGCTGTGAACTAGAATTATTTTTTAATTATTCAGTAATTATTAGTGTAATGCCTGTTGCCTCCCTGCCCCTGAAATAAGTTTCTTGAGTGTTGGGTATTCCACATACGTAGACTAGTCCTTGGAACTAGAAGATACTCCTTAAATATAGGTTTGGTGAATGAATATTCCAAGAACCACTAAAATTAGTTATATAATTTTGGCTAATTTTTGTCCAGGAGGCTAAGTGAACAAAAGCTGGTGCTCCATCTCACTCTTTGCCACAGTTCTTCTCTTCCCCTTGGTAGTTACAAAAGGAAACACTTACAAGTGTTTTTGCACTGACATTGGTTTTCCCAGGAAAGGTGACCAGCTTTTCCTGTACAATTCATAAAGGGTGCCCTGGCGCTCGTTCTGCGGAAGCCTTTCTTGCATTCACAGTTTATCAGGGTGCCGATTTTGTATGTGAGGGCTTTGTATGTGGCATTGGTGACAGTTAGTGGTTTGTGATAACAAAGATCTGCAAAGAAAAAGAAGCATGTTAGGAGTCCCGGAAGGTCCAAACACTCACATACTTAACCATGCAGTGATTTAATCACACATATTTCCATTTTATTTAAAGGATTTATCCACACCCCCCTTTTTCCTAGAAAGAAACTAAGGCTGTTGCCATTTGTTCTTTAGAAACTTTTAATGAGAGACAGTTCAAAATTTAATTTCAAACATTTCTCTTCAAACTACAATATATTTCAAAGTAAATGAATAGAAGTGAATGAGGTTTTATTCTGAATATGTCTCCTGCTGAGCAAGTAGAGAGAGGAAAAACAGGGATATGAGGAAGAGAGGAAAGCCATGTAAATTTAATTAATGGACAAACTTTGTGTGTGTGAGATATATGAACTTTTCAGGAAATGAACATTGTTTAACTTTCTGTAATTAATAATTTTGTACCATTAAAAAAATAGAAATGTAAAGTGCTTCACTAACTCTCTAGCTAGTAGGAAGTGGGTATTTCTTACCCACCTACCCAAATGTGAGTTTTCCAAATTCCTTTGCATACTGCAAAGATCTGACACTTTCTCAGCTTGAGAAATGGACACCAGTTTCCCACACTTGATGTAGTGGCCAAATACCCAACTATTAAGAGGAAAAAGCCATTGGTCTAATCAGAAAAATTACTTAATTACACCTTTCTGATGTAACCTTTCAGAATTTGCAACAAGTTGCCCTGCTTCAAGCATCTAGATTTTTAGAGAAAAAGCCACCTACTGGATAAAAGAACTGGATAGGAAGGATCACAGGAAACAGGAAAAGGTGAGAGAACAGGGGCCTTTATCAAAGCCAGCCTCTCCATCTACCAGAATGGGCCCTGAATCCAGGCTGGTTGCCGCGTTCATTGCTGGCAGAGAACCATCTGCCGATTGCCTATTAATCATTTGGGTTGTAGTGAAATTTCCCTTTGCCCTTATATTGTGCCCAGAGTCTTGTCACCCTACAGGCCACTCCCATCCAAGACTTCGGACACTCCTATTACCACCTGGGACAGAAGGTGAAGAGATCATGGACAGCTTGCCCCACATCTAAACAAGAACAGATAAAACAAAAGCAATTTCAATAGTTCAGAGGGCCAGCAATTGTAGAAGAACATGTATGATAAGCACTCAATAAATTCTGGTAATTATAATAACGTAATACTAAGGCAAGAAAGGCAGCAAGGTAGAAAGGGGAGAAAGATTGTTTTCTAGATTCTAGCTCTATCAGTTTACTAGCTATATAGCTTTATTATATTTACTTACCTAAGATGTGCTTTCCTTTTCTGTAAAATGGGTGCTATAATAATTATTTTGATTTTTTTAAAAGACTACATGACATAACATACTAACATAACTTGCAGAGCACCTGGCACAAAATAGGCATAGATAGATGCTACTTCTGCTTTTTTCCTCTGCCCAGAAAGAGAGGATAGCAATTCACATAGAGACTGGGATAAAGTTTATTTTATCCCTTAACTTCTGCAAAAGGGCATGTCTCTCTACAGCCCATATGATTAGTACCACTCTCTGGCACTTATCAGACACCAATACCAACCAACCTTTTAAGTATCGGAGTGCAAATCTGTTTCTAAAACAAGATATGTATAATAATCAGAAAAACCACTGCAGGAACATGGCAAGGACATTACCTTTAACTGCTGCTTTTCAACATTGTATTAGAAGTCCTGGCTAATGAAACAGAAAAGAAAAGGAAATAAAAAATATACAGGGGGCATGATGGTGGAGGAGTGAATGGAAGTCACACTGATTTCTTTTTTTTTTTTATTTTTTTCATTTTTAAATTCTTTTATTTTTTTTTATTTTTAATTAATTTATTTACTTTTTAAATACATTTGTCTCTGGGGGGGAAGGCAGACACACTGATTTCTTCCTAGAATCAATCTGGAGTTACAACTAAATTGTGGAGAAATCCCCTGGAACAAACAACTGAACAACAGCAAGAGAGGAGCCCTGTAACCTGAGAGAGAGGAATAAACTAGGGCACAACCTGACTGGTAAAGAGTTCAGTAGAGACTTGAGAAGACAGGCTGAGTTCCCATGGGTGGCAGCACCAGAGGGATATTTAAACAGCCAGTCGGATCCCCCTAAGAAGCGGGGGTCTACACCATAAGTGGGGATCTCCAGCCTACAGCACCAGAGCCCAAAAAGTACACAGATAACAACCAGCTGTGAAAAGCGACAGTGTTGCTCTCTGCCAGAGATGGACAGCTAGAGATGCAGAGAGTCATTTAAAGGGCCAATGCATAAATTATTATTTGCAACCACATAGCCTAGGCTCTGGCAAAGGTGGGGCAGAGAGGGCTACAGACACCTGAGGAGAGACTGGGGAAGGAGCCTTTGGGGAGAGAACTGAGGGAATAGCAGGAGAGAAACTGGTGCTGACTCTTCCCCCATAGGGGAGCAGCCATCTGATTCAGGAAGACCACTCCCCTGAGTGGTAGCAGTATGAGAGGACACAATAGCCCTGCCCCCAGGAGGAACTCTGCCTCACTTGGTGGTGCCTAAGCTGGATTGCTGAATGCAGACTGACTAGATTAACAACTGAAGGAGACAGCCACAGACAGTAGATTCCTGGAAGTCTCAAACAGTCTGCCTAAGGTCATATGTAGTCAACATCTGACACTGTCAGAGGCATATCCAGAAAGAAAAAGCAGTGATCTCCTACCATAGAGGTTCACACCACAAAGTCAGAAAGTCAAGTCAGATCAATTTAGGAAGAAGAGGCAAAAAAAAGAAGAGTCTCACAAATAATGGGAAGACAAAGACACAACCCAAATCAAAGGGGAAGGAGGAATTCTCAGAAAGAGAACTAAATGAAATAGAGGTAAGTAAACTATCAGATACTGAGTTCAAAAAGATGGGTCGAAAGAAGCTCAATGAGCTCAGTGAGCTCAGACAGAATTACCAAAAACTACTGTGAAACTATGAGAAACTTACTGCAAATTATATCAGCATGAAAAGGACATAGAAACTATCAATAAGAGACAAGAGGAAATGAAAAATACAATTTCTGAATTGAAGAACACAGCAGAAGTAATCAAAAGCAGTCTAGATGAAGCAAAGGATCGATTCAGTGAACTGGAGGACAAGGTAGAAAGGAGCTCCTAGAAAGAGTGAGAAAATGAAAAAAGACTCAAAAAGAATTAAGAGACATTTAGGGAAATGCAGGACAACCTGAAACATAATAATATCTGTATAATAGGGATACCATAAAGGGAAGAAGAGGAGGAAGGTATAGAGAACATGTTTGAAAGAGTAATGATGGAAAACATCCCTAATTGGAGGAGAGAAAAAGAAACACAAGTCCAGGAAGCACAGAGGGTCCCATTCAAGAGGAACCCAATGAGGCCCACTCCAAGACACATCATAGTTAAAATGACAAATATCTAAGACAAACAGAGAATCCTAAAGCAAACAAGGGAGAAAGAGGTAATAACATACAAGGGAACCCGGAAACGGCTAGCAGCTGACTCCTCAACAGAAACACTACAAGCCAGGAGAAAACAGCAAGAAGTATTCCAAGTAATGAAAAGCAAAGGCTTGTAACCAAGACTGCTCTACCCAAGAAAGCTCTCAATTAAAATGGAACACAAAATAAGGAGTTTCCCAGACAAAAGAAGGCTAAAACAATACACCTCCAGCAAACCAGCACTGCAAGATATCCTAAAGGGACTGCTCTAAGAAGATGAAGAAAAAGAGTGAGAAAGAGAGGAACTCATGTACAAAGAAAAAAAAATGAGTAAGTACCTATCAATAATAACTTTAAATGTAAATGGATTAAATGCTCCAATCAAATGACACAGGTGGCTGAATGTATTAGAAAACATGATCTGCACATATGCTGCCTACAAGAGACCTACCTCAGAACAAAGGACCTACACAGACTGAAAGTTAAAGGATGGAAAAAAATAGTCCAAGCAAACGGACAGGAAAAAATAGCAGGGGTAGAAATACTTACATTAAACAGAATAGATTTCAAAACAAAGGCCATAAAAAGAGACCCAGAAGGACACTACATAATACTCAAAGGAAGAATCCATCAAGAAGACAGAAACATTGTAAACCTATATGCACCCAACACAGGAACACCCAAGTATATAAGGAAATCTTGGAGGACTTCAAGAAAGATATAGACAGCAACACACTGATACTAGGGGATTTTAACACCCCACTGTCAACAATGGATAGATCTTCCAAACAAAACATCAACAAGGATATTTAGGAAATGAACAACGCATTAAGCCAAACAGAATTAACTGGTATGTATATAACCTTTCATCCCAAAGAAGCAAAATACACATTCTTTTCAAGTGCACATGGAACATTTTCAAAGAGATACCACATGATAAGACACAAAACAAGCCTCAACAAATTCAAGAAAACTGAAACCATAACAAACATTTTCTCAGACCACAAGGGCTTTAAACTAGAATCCAACCTCAAGAAAAAAACTCAAAAGCATTCAAACTCATGGAGACTGAATAGCCTGCTCTTAAACAATGAATGGGTCAATAATGAGTTTCTGGAAAACAAATGAAAATGAAAACACAGCAGTCCAGTGAAGGCAGTCCTGAGAGGGAAGTTCATAAAAATAGGGCCTACCTAAAAAAGATAGAAACATTTCGTAAAAATGGCCTAACTCTACAGCTTCAAGAACTGGAGAAGCAACAAGAAACTAAGCCCAGAGCGAGTAGAAGGAAGGCAATAATCAAGATCAGAGCAGAATTAAATGACATAGAGACTAAGAGAACAATTCAAAGGCTCAACAAATCCAGGAGCTGGCTCTTTGAAAAGATAAACTCAAGAAACGTTTAAGCAGATTCATCAAGAAAAAAAGGGAGAGGACCCAAATAAGTAATATCAGAAATAAAAGAGGAGAAATAACAACTGATACCACAGAAATACAAAAGATTGTAAGAAATTACTATGAACAATTTTATGCTAAGAAATTTGAAAACCTCGACTA